CCCTGGAGGGGTTTCCAAGCTGTGGAGATCTGGTGCTGAGGGACATGGGTCAGTGGGGACCTGGCAGTGCTGGGGGAATGGTTGACTTGATGATCTTCAAGGTCTCTTCCAACCAAAATGAGTCTATGATTCTATTCTATAATTCCACCTACCCGAAGTTATCAGAGCAGAGCTGGGACTGATGAGGAGCACTGCTGGTGATGATAAAAACAACCAAATAATGCTGAAAAGAGCTCCCAGCTGGAGCTGTTTACTTGGAAACAGAAGTAGGGATGAGGGAGCCAGGGCAGCCGTGGGGCTGGACCCCACACGCCCCAGCCCTGGGGGTTTCAGAGCGGAGAAGCCGCATGCTCCCCGCTGGAGCCAGCCAGCCAAGGTGTCTTCGGGCAATGGTGGAAGGGGCTCAGCTCCTTGGAAGAGGTGTGGGAGGAAGGAGGAATGATAATGTTGAGGCAAATGTTCCAGCTCTCCACCAGACCCGCTGGGTTCGCCCCATGGCACAGGGCTGGGAGCAGGGGGTGCCGGGAGCGGCGGGTGCTCCCACTGCCCGGCACCGTGCCGCAGCTGGGCGCTGGGAGGGGGCTCAGCCTCCCTCGAGGGGAAGGGAAGGGAAGGGAAGGTGAGAGAGGATTTGGGAGCACCCAGGGAGTCGCTCGCCCACGCTGGCTCCAGTGGGGCGACAGGGCTCCAGCATCCCTGCCCAGGGGCTCAGGGTCTCTGTGAGCCACCGTGCCCCCCAGCAGGCACAGCGGATGGGGTCTCCTCCATGGGCAAACAGTTGGGAACAACACGGGCTCCTCTTGCAGCCCTTTTTTAAAGGGGGGTTGCTGAGAAGAGAGGTGCATGTCCTCCCTGATCCTTCCCAGCAGGCGAGAGCTTTTGGAATGTCACTCAGCTTCGAGCTGGCACCACCAAGCCCATTTTTCCCAGGTCTTTGATAGCTTTTCAAGCTTTGGCTTCACTGTTTTACACGTCCTCTGGTTCAGTGGATGTTGCAATGCCAGCAGACTTGTTATCTGGCTGACAGCCTGTTTTGGAGGGCCAGGATTGGGGTGTTGGTGACGGTTCACACCACAGCAGGGTCAGCACAGGAAAGACATGGACCTGTTGGAGTGGGTCCAGAGGAGTCCACAAAAATGATGAGAGGACTGTAACCCTTCTGCTGTGAGGCCAGGCTGAGAGAGTTGGGCTTGTTCAGCCTGGAGAAGAGAAGGCTCCGGGGAGACCTTCTGGTGGCCTTTCAGTATTTAAAGGGGACCCAGAAGAAAATTGAGGATAGTTTTTAGAAGGGTCTGTTGCAGTAGGACAAGGAGTGATGGTTTTAAACAAAAAGAGGGGAGATTAGGAATAGAGAGAAGGAAGGGATGTTTTACACTGAGGGTGGTGAGCCCCTGGCCCAGGCTGCCCAGAGAGGTGGTTGCTGCCCCATCCCTGGAACCATTCCAGGTGAGGTTGGACAGGGCTCTGAGCACCCTGCTCTAGCTGCAGATGTCCCTGCTCCCTGCAGGGGGTTGGACTAGGTGACCTTTAAAGGTCCCTTCCCACCCAAACCAGTCTGTGATTCTTTGATTCTCTGCCCAGGTGTGATGACCACTGCTCAGCCTGTGAGGGCTCCAGTGGAAACTGCCTCAGGTGTAAAGAAGGTTTCAGCCTCCTCGGCGGCTCCTGTGTAACAAATGAAACCTGCACCAACGGTAGGTAGTTGGGGCAGAACCTATGGCACCACAGTGCTTCCCTGACAGCAAAAATGAGGGGGGTTGGAGATTGCCTTCAGAGCAGAAAGCTGAAGGTGTTGAAGCTCCCGGGCTTGCCGGGGCACGGCTGCAGTGAGCTGGGCTGTGGTGGGCAGGTTATCTGGCAGAGCTGCTGGATATCTGCCTGTTGCTCAAACGCATCCAAGCGTTTGCATTTCATCCTGGTTTAGTCTGGAGGCTAATTCTCCCACTCGCTGCAAAGCTGCTTCTTTCCTTCATCCAAACCCCATGAAAGATGCCCTTAAAAAGCGACCCCTGTTCCGTTCTCTCTCCTCCAACACTGGAACGAGTTGCGCCGCCTGTTAGTGCAATGTTTGTTTATTTAGAATGTTAATCTGCTCTCATTTTCTCTTGTTCCTCGCCTCGGCCTCCCAGCTGACAAGACTTTCTGTGAGATGGTGAAATCCAACAAGCTCTGTGAAAAGAAGCTGTTCGTGCAGTTCTGCTGTCAGACGTGTCTCATGGCCGGGTAAAGTTCAGCGGCTGCATCCATCCAGGACTTCCACCGACTGCCAGCCCAGTTTTGCCAAACGTTTAGGACAAAAGTTTATTTTTTCAGCTTTGGGAGAGTTTACATGGTGCTGTCAAGCGTTCGCTCGTGAGTTTGATAGCTTTAATATCACTGTCAGCGCGTTTCTATAGCAATATGTTAAGCAGAGGTTGGATCGTGCCCCCGGAGGCTCGGGTCCTGAAAGGCAGCAGGCGAACGGTGGTATTAACACTCTCAAACACTCCTCGGGAGCAGGGACTGATGCCCGAGCCGTGTACACACGCCTGGTTCTTCACAGAAATCCTCCTGACCTGCCCTCCCCGAGCGCCCGGCGGGAGCCCCCGCCGCACAGGACGCGGGACTCGACACGTCTGCGGAGGCAGAGCCGTTCCTGGCTCGGTTTTGGGTGCCCTTTTCTGCTAGGGGACAGCTGATGGGAGCTTGCTCTGTACATAGGTCAAAGGATGAATGGGGTAGTGCCCAGAGCGGTGCCCTAACGGCAATAACTGGAGGTTTGAGGACCAAAGCGAGAGCTGATCCACGTGGCTCTGAGGTGTGCCAGCCCCGCGAGCCTGGCCAGGCTTTGCCCTGCAGGTAACCGCGGGCAGGAGAAACCTGGGTGCCCATGGGGAGTCGTATGGACTCGGGGGGGTCCTGCACGGACCAGCCTGTGGGGTCACAGCCTTGCCATGAAAGGAATTTCCCTCCTGGAACTGCTAATTAATTAAGTTCTGGAACGAGCTAGATCCTTCCTCTAAACGAGACGGTGTCCCCAGTTAATATCTTCGGTATTTTGCATTGAGATCATTCCCCTGTTTCACTGGGTATACCTCCCTCTGTCACAAAATCCTCCTGCTCATGGCAGTGATTTTTCTTGGGCATCTGTTTCCAAAAGAGACATTCCAGGTATCCGGCCAGGAAACTCTTAATTCTACAAAACCCTTCCCTGAAACAACCCTTTTTATGCTCTCTCTTAATAGTAAGTCATGTGGTGTTTATATAATTGTGTTTGAAATATCCTTGGCTATGTTGTTTTACAGATTTTTAAAAAATAACTTATACAATCCTTGGTTTTTTTTTTCCTCTGTGGATTATTTTTTATATGGGAGCGGGGAATCTTTTTGTGTCTTATCTCCTTCTTTTCTCCTCTCTGACCTTGCAGAGCTGCTCTTTGCCCCGGACGTATGTAAACACTTTCCTATGCTGCACGTTCTGATTTTCATTGTTAATAGTTTTAACGAGTTAAACCTTTTGCCAATGAAATTCACAGTACAGACTGTCACCAGTTCCTGTCGGGGCTGGGATAATCCCTGCTTGGTTTGGGTTGCAATGACACACGTCCTGCCCGGGCTTGCCTGCTTAGAGCTTACCTCAGCCAGGTGAAGAGGGGAGAGCCGCGCCCTGACCGGTCCTCACCCACCTGGACCCAACCCAAGGAGAGATGGAGCTTTGGTGAACTGACCTTTAAGTTAATAAACTATTGATCTCCCCTGACAAATGAATCTGTGCTTCTTCCAAATTCCCAGAGCTGCCCCCCCGACCAGAGGCAGGGCAGTGCAACGATGCACCGCGGGTGGTTTTTGTGCTGGACACAGCAGCTCTCCTGGCCAGAGCACCTGCAGGAGAAACAGCTCAGGAACAGAGGAGCTGCATCTGCAACATCCTCATTGTGATCTTATCAAGGTCTTTCACCTTCAGAGGAAACTCCTACTCCAAATACCTGCCCGTGCCAGGCTGGGCTGGCATCTCTGGTGCACCCAGGGATATCTGGCTGGGGCTCAGGGCTGCACCTGGGCATGGCTGAGCATGGCACACAGTCCCAGCATGGGGGGGGTTGGAAGGGACCTCTGGGGCTCATCTCATCCAACCCCCCTGCTAAAGCAGGGTCAGCTAGAGCAGGGTGCCCAGGATGACGTCCAGGTGGGTTTTGAGTATCTTCACAGAAGGACTCCACAATCTCTCCTCCAGAGTTCTCCAGTTGTGAGGGATCCCAGGAGAGCTGGGGGGAGGGCTTGCTCCCCTTTCCCACCCATCCAAGGAGCATCCTGCAGCCCCCAGTGCCCCACTGCAGCTGGGGACTGGAGGGCCACCTTCCCCCTCGGGCTGGCCGGGGCAGGAGAGGGGCTGCTGGGGAGCAGAGGGAGCTGTGGAGCCTTTTGTTTGCCCTGTTGGTTTGGCAATGTTTAACCCAGGGCACTGCCTGGGTAGCTGGAGCTGAGCTTTTAAAGTGTGGAAAAAAGGAAAGAATGGAGGGAAGATGCTTTCTCAGAGCTGTGCTGCTGTGGGCTCCTGCGCCTTACAAGTCATCACATCAGATGACAAATGTGAATTAATCAGATGATTTATCACACACAGTGATTCCTTCTGTTGCTCCAGGATTCCCCTTTCAGTCTTGGGCCAAAGCAGAGGTCAGAACTGGGGTGAAATACTCCTGGCTTCTGCCCTTTTGGCTGTAAATAACAAACTTTCATTTCTGGTGCTGTGTCACAGAGTCAAAAACGGGGAGCTGTGACTTGGGAGCACTGCACCAGCTCTGCCTCTCAGTTCTCTGGCTCACAGCAGCCTGCCTCTAAATACTGCTCATGGGTATATTTAGATGTACTGAAATGCTAAAAAAATAAAGGAAGATGTTTACCCTTACGTCTTTGGCATAACTTAAAATACACATTGGGTGAAGCAATGCAATTTAAGATGACCAATCCACAGCAATCCCAGCTTTATCCTGCTTTCTGCTGCCCTCCAGCCTGCCAGGGATTACATGTCAAGTTCATGCAACAACAGCTCCCAGCATTTCCCAGGGCACCAACTCCCTCAGAAATCATTCTTGGAAAGTAATAAAATTCAGATTATTTATCCAAGCTATTGCAATGCTTGCTTGGAGCTATTAAAGTCTGTCTGACACTGGTACGCTCAGAGGATCAAAGTGGCTGTGTCTTCAAGATAAATGCATATTTAGGCAATTTATTAAAGCCTGTTTCTCTATTGTCTCTTGGCACCAAAACCAAATCTATAATAGCTGTTTTCTGGAAAATCTTCTTAGTGCAGCCTGACTCCTCACTTGCTCTTTGGCTGTGAGGTTGCATCCACGGCTATCTGCCATTTTGTAGTTGGCAGGTGAGGAACATACACCTTAAAAATGATTGCTTTGACTTTCCATTACAAAGAAAGGGCTTATAAGAGCTCGTGTGCAGCCTCAGACCGAGAATCTCTCTGCTCCCCATCACAATTCCAGCCTGGCTGTAGAGCCTGGGGCATACAACTCTCTTGTGCTAAGGCAGAGAGGTCTGTGTTTTATCTGGCCTTGTTGGAGGCAGGACCTGCTTCCTGGGAGGCTGAAGAGGGTCTCCTTTTACCAAGTGCCTGAAATGACTACAGACTCTGTTGCCTTTCCCACCGTGTGATTGCTGAGCTGTGTACAGCAGTGCTGCTGATTCTCCATTTGCACTTAGGGCAGCTCACTCTCTTTTGCTTGCTCTCTCCTAACCACTTTTAAACAAATGCAGATGTTAGAAGAACCTGGTGCTGTGCTTTCCTCCCCAGCTTTGGTGAGGGTGTTTTCCACACAGAGAGCACAGGAGCTGCCTGACCCCGGCTGACACCTCCCCAGGGAGCAGCAGCCAGAGCAGAGCCAGTTCTGATGCTGTGGTCCCGGGGAAGGAGCCAGGCATCACTCTCAGGGGGTTGCTGCTGCTAGATGCTTCCAAAAGAAAAGTTCCAGCCATTGCTGCATGGTGCCAAATGTGGCTGCAGCACTCAACCTATTATCACATCCTCTGGCTTCACAGCAGTGTCACAGCTGGTGAAAAAATCCCTCCCTTGACAGCAGTGGAGCCAGAAATCTTTCTGCCTCACCTCGCTCAAGGGGCCTCGAGGGCTGGGGAATTATTTCCCCAGGGCTGCTGAAGTGAAGGGCTTGGTGACATTCAACAGGATTTGGGCCTGGGGGGAGTCAACTGCTTCCTTTGGCGTGCCACCTTTGGTCCATGGCATGCACACGGTGGTTCAGCCCTGCTGGTGCCAGCCCAGCCCTGCCACCCAGGCACCGGGCAGCTCACCAGCCTCAGACCTAGTGAGACCTAGTGACCTCCTTCACACTGGAGTTTCCTGGCCAGACAGGGCAGGCTGAGCCATCCCTGCTCCCCCAGAGCTGCCCCCGGCTCTTCCTGGCTACTCTCTGAATTCCTACAGCTGGTAAGAGGGGATGTGGTGACACTTGAGAGTGGATTTTATTTTGCAGGCAAAGGGTGAGCATCATGCTGCAACCATGTGGTGTGTTTCCAGCCCATCGTGGCTTCTCTGATCAGGAATGCACCTGGAAGTGCCACAGCAACTGTCTCAGGTGCATTGGAGCATGGTCCCAGCCTGCTCTGCCCAGGCTCCTGCAGACTGGGTCAGTGCTCGGGCACACCAGGAGCTGAGAGGGAAGCAGAGAATCCTAAACTGGTTTGGGTTGGAAAGGACTTTTCAAAGTCACCTAGTCCAACCCCCCTGCAGGGAGCAGGGACATCTGCAGCTAGAGCAGGGTGCTCAGAGCCCTGGCCAACCTCACCTGGGATGGTGCCAGGGATGGGGCAGCCACCACCTCTCTGGGCAGCCTGGGACAGATCAACAAGTCCAGCTGTTAATTCAGCACAGCCACGTCCCTTTGTGTCTTGTTCTGCCACCTCTCCTGGCACAGCTTGAGGTGTTTCTTCTTGTCCTATCACTTGTTCCTTGGGAGAAGAGACCAACCCCCACCTGGCTCCAGGCTCCTGTCGGAGTTTTTGAGAGTGAGGTATCTGATATCTGAAAAGTCTGGAAAACTGAGCAGACAATGATAAAAAGTGTAAATAATTACTAATTTTAGAAACTTGGCTTAGACAGGATGGTTCTCTTTCAACTGCTAAAGCCCAGGAGACAAGATAAGAAGAAACTAATGACGAGTGTCCTGCTTTAACGAAGGTCACAGGAGGAACTGGCCTCATCCAAAGGGTGAAATTAGGG